AATGACGTCAAGGGAAACTCGATTCTATTTTCTTCCTTCCCGAGGAATCCGTTGATCTTAAGGAGAAAACGAGGACATTGAGAGTCTTCTTTCCTGTTTCTTCGGACTTGAGGGTCGTGGAAGTTCCTAGGAAACTTTTCCTCTTCCTCTTCATTGTTTGCATCTATAAGGGTCAAGGGCGATGGCAAGAGGGCCGAGTCAAGGAGCATGACTTCACTTAACCATTATTGGCTTCTTGCAACCCTTTTGACACTGGATGGATGCCAAATTGGCCCCTTCAGTTGTTATCAAGTCTTCGCAATTGTATCCACGTCCATTTTTTTTGCCATAATAAAAGGTCACTGCGTACTACAATAAATGCGCATGATACTTGGGCGCCTGATACAAGCCGAAAAAACGGCCGAAGAGTTCATTCGTCCTTCTGGTTTTGCTGTCTTGTTTCAGCTGACACTGCTTGCCTGAAAATATACATTCTTGTAATTTCATGTCGGTCCGGAGACAGCAGTTTTAGGGGAATTATCCATGATGAACGAACAGCATGATGGATCGGCATGAGCCCAACAGAGCGAATGTTGGCATAATATCGGTTTGACGGTCCATCTTTGGTTCATCGTTGTGGTTTAGAAGACTTCCGACCTCGATTTTTTTTTCTGCTTCATTTAAAGGTGACGCAGCGTGTTAGATGAACATTAGCTATATTGGTGCAATATTGGGTTGGCATTCCGAGACGTTGACTCCATATTTCGTTTGTTGAATTTCATTGTTGCTCCAAAATTGGTCCGCTTGATATGGGAAGGTTCCTCAAACTAAAGCGAGATGGCGTGGTGTCTAAGTCGCCAATATAGCGAGCTGCTCCTCGATTCAACTGGAATCTCAAGCTCATATGGCATCCGAACTTTTTCCGCAAACGATTTATGGCAAGATATTGCAACATCTTCAAGAGAATAAGAAAATAATTTAATAATAAATAATGCTCTGTTCCTTGATCTTAGATTCCTTCGATTTAAAGAAACTATCATGTCTGTAAAGTTTAATGCAATATCTGTAAAAACAAGGGAGAATAAAATGCTGTCTGCCTACAAGTTTCCTGGCCAGCACGTCATTTCTGAATGTCTTCGGATCCACCCACGAATCCTGTATTACGTCTGCCCTTCGGACACAGCCCTGTGCTTAGCCAGCCAAAGGGGCGAGTCGAGACTCTTCTCGGGGGTATTTCTCTGCGGGCCACCCTCGCAACTCGCAAGAGTTTTGGAATAATCACGATTAACCGTGATGGTTCATTTTTGGCTGTCGACTCTTGGAGATTCTTCTCCGATTTGGCGGTCGGTGGCACAGGAATTAACGTGGGATTGATCGAGGCGACTTCCTCCGAACGAAAAGAATGGAGACCAATCGGTGGGGAGAGTTTCGTCTCAGCGGCGACTCCAAGGCGCTACTTGGTTTCTTCCTTCTCGACCGTCTTCGGTTGAAGCGATCGAGGGTTCTGAAGATTCTCTCCCGGTCTCTTTTCTTCCGACTTGCGATCTGGGGATGGACGGGGAGTGTGTTCGGTGTCAGCGGGTTCGGGCGTTCGATGGGTCGATCCACCGAGGGAAACTGCAAGCGGAACCAACGTGTTTGGTCAGGATTCGCCTCTCCACAAATATTCATTCGGTTCTCATCGAGTCGGCATTACCCGAATGTTGCCGACTCCAATCGCTTTCGACGGTCCCCCAAGGTGCATGTGTTCCACTTTGTGGGATAATCATTTATAAGAAATACTTATAAGTTTCCCGGCCTCCGCAGCAGTGAAGGAAACGAAAACGCTTCCTTGTGTAACGTAGTATGGCTCTCTATCTACGGTACTCTATACAAGTATATCACCGATATCACCATTTGTCTGCGGTTATCGGGGGAAGAGGAAAACCCTGACAGGGTGAGAGCCAGAATGGCTTCATAATTCTTCCTGGAATACGCGCAAGGACCACCGAAACCGAAAGGGGAAAAATGTGCAGACGGGGGACTTCCTGTTACTGGAAAAAAACATAGTAATGGTAAGGGAGTGATGAATGACAACGGATGAAAACGGATGACAACGGATGACGTGGACCCTGGTGATGACGATCAGTCCCTCGTTCCCCATCGATACACTCGAGACATTCTTCGCGGTCGGCTTATTAGTTTCTGTCATGAGCGTCATTCCGCTCCGCATGGGATCCGTAATGGCGAAATAATATATTGTGATCGTTCACGAGAGAAAAAAAAAGACATAGGAAAGGTGATCCGCACGGCCCCATCAACGCGATGAGGAACGGGTATCGCGCGTGGGAACGATTGCACGTTGCGGGTCAGAATGTCTTCTTTCATATTGCGCATGTATAGTTCCTGATATCGGTGGACGATCGAATCGTGCGCGGTGAAAAATGAATTCGTTCATTCCTTGCATTTTCTTAGTCTTATTTTTACTATTAGCCAGATTTTAAAATTGTTTCATATCGATGTGAAGAATGTCATGAATGCCGATGACTTGCAAGCTAGAGAAGCTTTATGTTGATGAGCCTTAAAAGAGTCTAGTTTATTTCATGCCCAAATTTTTCCATCTGTGAACCAAATCTACGATATGAAATTTTAGCCGGCGATTGGAGCCTAGAATCTTCCCCATCTAAAATGACATCATATAAATAACTCTTCTCCTAATGATTGCAGTGAGCGATCACTTAGCGATACTCCGTCCCTTCATCAAAGAGAAAAATCCCTCAATTTATTGTCGTACACATATGTTTTTTAGAATGTATTTTCTTCACGTTTTGCTGCTGCAAAAGCCAAGAGCCCTCGTAAAATACTCATGGATGGAATTAAACGTGGAATTTACTCATGGCTCTTGCCGCCTCATCAAAATTCCAAATAAAAAAGTCCTGCTGTGACACTATTCCCCCAGTGGATTCTGTTCGGCCTTGAATTCCTCGAAATGAACGGAGAATCACGAATGACTTGCTTAAAAAATGAAACCCGACGAGCGAGAGGCACTTCGCAGATCGATGGAGCCGTCCCGCTGTTAGGATCGCCCGAGACGATCGCTCAAAATGATCCCTCGAGACGATCGACCTGAGGTTCGTCTGGCGCGAACTTCTCGCTTCGGAACACATTTTCCAAAACCAGAACTTGGTTTCGAATCCAAACCGAAAGTTCCCGACTGCGAAGACAATATAACGAATATTTTTATGTAAGTGATAACAGATAGTGTTAGTGTTGTATCTATGAATTTAATGGAAAATGTATTGTAAATGGAATTTTGCAGCGAAATCCAAGCGCGTGGAGCAGGAAGAGAATGAAATCCGTCGGGCACCAGCGGTCACTCTGCCACACAACGATACGTCGATCGAGAGTTTTTTTTTTTTCCTCACTGTCTTCATACATATCGTTTTCGGTTTGGATCGCATATGTAGCAATATGATCGATGGCCACGGTTTTCGATTGCTTCAAGTGGTGAAACGGGCAGTGAGCACGATATCATCTTCAAAGCAGATAACTACGAAGGGGCATTACTGAAACGGATTAGAATGTTTCTCACTTCAACGTGGATTGTTCCTTATCGGTTTTCAATTTCAATGTATCAGGTTGTAAAGGTGAAATTTAGACATTTCGATTTTTTCTAGAAAAATCTGGAAAATGTTAGAACTTTCTATGTAGGTGTATAAGTAGAGTGACCAGTGGGCATTGTGAGCGTGAGTGCTTATCGTGAACCTACAACAGATACATTGACGCAAGACTGCACTCTAGTCGTTGTTGAGTNCTTATCGTGAACCTACAACAGAAACATTGACGCAAGACTGCACTCTAGTCGTTGTTGAGTTAATTGTCAATAAATTGTTTTCTGGAAAATGTCTAAATTTCACCTTTACAACCTGATATATAAAGAAAAAACAAGTAAAAGGGAAGGAATGAGTGGAGCGGGGCTACACTGGAATCCAATTTTTCATACGTAACGAGCTGGACATGGAAGAGTCATGAAGTCCCGGCGATCCGAGACAAGGCTCATTTTTATTCAAGTACCAAATAAATGGGCGGATGGCTTCCTGCTGTTCCTGCATGGAATGCGGTTCCCTGCTCCCTCTACGTCGCAAAATGACTGCTCCATTTATTTTACCCAGCCTCGCGTCCTCGAACCGTTCGCTGCGTGAAGTAAAAAAAAAAGCCTTTCTCTTTTAAAGCGAGATCCATGGTTATCAATTTTGTTTAAGCCCGTCTTCTGACGAAGGAAACTCTTTGCGATCGCGTGTGTCTTCGTCCTTAGGGAGGAAAAAAAATTCAAGTAAAATTCTATTTTGATTCAAGTTGATTTTAGATAGGAAATTTTTTAAGTTAAGCATCGTAAACACGCGATCTTAGAAACTTAACGGTATAGCATTTTAAAAAAGCGAAAGGGATGTGTGTGTAATGGTCCGGATGACACCGAAATGGATGAAGCACCCATTTCTGCGGGTCCCTTACCCCCAACCTCTTCCCCCCTCCCCCCCCCGACCTCTTCCCCCTTGCGCCCATGCGGGATGAGCGATGGGTTCCAACCTTTTTCACAGGATTACGTCTGCTGAATGCATTTGGCAGCCATCGCTCTTTGGACGAGCGTACTCGTTTACAAATCTCTGCTGCGAAACAATGTGAAATGAGTCTTAGGGAAACGAGGACGCTTCTTTGACGTTGAATACAAGTCCATTTAGTTATTTTTCAGATCCATCAATGAGCTTTCCGAACATATCAGGAATCATTTCACTGCGATTTTTTTTTAATTATAATATGAATGTATCATATATCATATGTTATGAATGCATCAAACCGTATAGGTGCAGTCATACCGATACTCATACTGTTACCAATAAAATACTGACAGAATCGATATTTCATTCTGGAGAATTCTTTATCGACGACGAAGAATCTCGTCGACCTAATCCCGATTGAAAAAAATTGGCGATGTTCCGCGCATCAAACATCATTCATGGATGGAACGAACGCTTTCGTTGCAGCGTGGATGTGGGGCGCCTTGATGTGCAAGATGGTGTCGTACATCCAGGGTGTCTCCGTGACGGCGTCGGTCCACAGCCTCGTCGCCGTCTCCTTTGACAGGTTCTTTTCGCCTCTGTCTTCCCTTTTTTTTTTCGTTGCGTCTGAATTTCGTCGAGAAGCGCTCTAAAATGTGGTGCTGATGTCCTGGTGATCGACGAATATAGATTAATTTTTATTTTTTATTTTGGGGTAGCTATGGATGTAAAATTTTTTAGGTCAGGTGTTCAGAGGTTTGGCGAACCTGAGAAACAAATCCGAGCTCGTCAAACCATGCCTTCATGGAAAAATAAATCAACCAGCGCAGTCTCACTCTCATGATGATCCAATTATGACAATAATTTCCAAATCTTTTCGCAAGAACGTATCAGCAGGCTCAAGCATCCCCCTTCGAGAGAAGATCAATCTCTGGGGCGTATGATCAAAGATTCCCATCTCGTTTGTATTAACGGATGGAATATTAATGGACTACCATTAATATTCCGTTCATTAATGGAATTCCTTCAAAAAAATCATGATACACAGATTATGTGACTTTTCAAGACGAAGGATGAAAATCCCAGGGAAGAAGGAATCTGATTTCTTGTTTCTCTATCCTTTGCTTTCCTTTCATGTTTTTTTTTAATGGATGAGTGCATATTGATGCTGCGCACAGCAAATTCCTCGTCGATAACGTCGTGATGTTTGAGATTTCCGATGCACTTAGTTTAATGTTAATAAATCTTCGATATAAATATGGTTACATTTGGTTCTACCTCATGAAATTTTCGGCGGAAATGGAGTTGCTGGTAATTGATTCACGAGACAAAATAGAATCTTTGTCTCCCGAACTGCTCACAATGCAGAACAAATCATAATGGAGACACTTAAGGATGAAAATAGGGACCACAAAAAGAAGAGGAAATGCTTGAATCCATGGTCGCTTTCCCAAGGTTCTTGGCGATTTGGTTCCCGCTGCAGCGGCAGATGACGAGGAAAGCCGCCAGCATCATCATCGTCTTCATCTGGCTGGAAAGCACCCACCTCTTGATCCCTTGGGCCATCGTGTTCCACGCTGAGGACGACCGTTGCAGGGAGGAGTGGACGGATCCCCTCACGGAGAAGATCTACTTCATCGTCGCCAATCTCGTCATCTGCTATCTCGCTCCCTTGCTGCTCATCTCCATCTGCTACATACTGATATTCGTGAAAGTGTGTCGACGGGACATCCCCGGGGAACGTACGAATTACGATCAACACGTCATGGAGCTTCATCAGAGGTACGTTGTCGTTGGCCTCTACCGACTTCCCAGTCATCGACTATCTCGAATCGCAAACTAAATAAACGTTCCCGTTTTTTCTTGGGCAATGATTCTTGAACGGCACCAATAATGAGGTGTTAGTATTACAGTATTTATATCCTTTCTTCCAGTACAAAACCGTCCACATCGGTGAAAGCCTAATTACGATGATTGCAATAGCCATTTCTACCTTTAAAAGCTGAAAATTCTGTGATGGCACTGTGATGGTAATGTAGCGCATTAGAGACGGAACTCGAGTTACTTTATTTACATAACAAAAGAATCCATGCTAGGATTCCCAAATCATATATTGGCTACTCGTATTCTACATCATACCTCGTCAAAGGATTATGCTTGACTTCCCGTGTTGATTGCGTTCCAATCATAATTTTGAGATTCAAAGATTTTCTTCTGGATTCGAGTTCACGTCATCAAAGGAGTCACACAGCTTGCCACAGATGGTGAAGGTCAGGTCCCAAAGCGCTCTCGTTCTCTCAGGTCGAAATTCAAGGTGATCCAGATGCTCCTGGTCGTCGTGGTCATCTTCATCCTCTCCTGGTTCCCCACCTACCTGATGTACAGCATCTACAAACTGGGCGACCCCCAACTCCTCGGAGACTGGGCCAAATCGTTGATCCCCATCGCGCAATGGCTCGGCGTCTCGAACTCCTGCATGAACCCGATCCTCTATGCCTTCTTCAATAAGAAGTTCAGGAAAGGGTTCAGCATGCTGGTTCGAGGACGGGGATATCGAACCAGCTTCATCGCTCCGAATTCGGGAATGAGCCGGGGAGAGACGTTCCGATCCTCCTTCATGAGCTCCAGCGTCATGAAGAAGTTTGCGGAGAGGCGGAGACGAGGAAGAGAGCGAAATAATGGCGTCCTGAGGCATTCGATTCGTCTCTCGACTGGTAATAATCCTGTCTTATGGAAAATCCTTAAGCTTTACATTGAAGATTTCAATGGGCCTTTTAAATCTTTGTTAGAATTTTAAATCTTATAGGATCCTGCAAGATTTTTATATGTCAAAAATCTAATAGGATCCTATAAGATTTTTCCGTAAGGGAAGATGTTTAGAAATACTGAGTAGCGCGAACCAGACCAATTCCAGATAACTCAAATTTTTTTTGGATTACATCAAGGACTCCTCTATGAATCAGAATCAGAATCCACACTTGCAAAAGGATCTGGTCGCCCATAGTTTAATTTAGCGTGGTTTATCAGTGACTGACAGGTGAAGAGCAGACGACTGAAAAGATGACATTTTCTTCCTTCGCCTCGATCCTCAATGTAGAACAGAACATTGAAGCTTTCCAAATTAATAACATTTCTCACATAGTTTCTTTCGATCCTGCAGCCATCCATACACGAGAGCGCGCCGAATCACATGCTCTACAAATGGAAACCTTGAACATGCGAGCGGAAGTCATGTGAGCTTTGTCGCCTTTCCTTATGGGAAATTGTGGGACATAAGCCAAAAAAAATTAAGAGGAAAATGTTTCAGGGTAAATTTTACTCTCAAGTCAGACATTTTAGGAGGATACTTCACAAACATCGGTCGTTCGTTTTCACGCGCTAGAGAGAGAGAGAGCGATACAAATACGATGTCGTATTGGCATTCCCACAGAGGTAGAAGTGGAAGCGGCGCATCCTCGGATCCACCGGCAGGAGGCCTTCGACGAGATCCAAGAGGACGAGCATTCCCAGGTGCCCGAACTGGGTCAGTGTCCGAGGATCCAAGAGAGGGACATGACGAGGCAGCATTCCGACGAAAGCACGGCCAGCTCCAGCTTCCTCATCAAGCCCGAGCGAATTCTGTACATGAACCGCCGCTTTGTCTCGTGATACGTTGAATCTGCTTTCTTTTCTCCCTCGTGCTATCGCTTCGTCCTTCCAGATCTCGATGGCTTTGCTCCATAAACTGATGTGGTTTGAACCTCGATTCCTTCATTTCGTGGAAGCAATTCTCACAATCATTTCGAGGGATCTGGTACCATGGATGTGACGCCATCCTGGTCGTCGGGCACATATCATACTGCCTGTTTTGGTTTTTTTTTGTTTTTTTCACATGAAACTGATTTTCGTGATATTCGAAAGATGATAAAAATATCTGCCGCCCATTGGCTATATACAAGGAGCTACTCGTTTGGCAGCACTGTTGCTTCATCGCTTGAGGCAGTCTCCCTTGAATAATCTCACTTGGCCTGGAGGTCCACCTTCATGTTCCTCACAGAGCCTATCTTTCCGGAGGTCCTTGAATGCCAAGGCGGGTGCTACATTTATGTCGTCTGGGCCCGTTTTCCACAGTGCTTGTTCTTCGTGACTGGAAACGGAAGGAAGTCGCAGAGACTCAAATCTGAAGAATACTAGGGGTAAGGAAAAATTCCCTACCCGTTTTTTGAACCAGTTACCACACTCCGACTAACACGTAGTGCCCCATTTTTCATGGAGAACGACTCCTGATGCCAGCCACTCGAGCCGAGTAGCGATCACTGTCTAGAAAAAAGAGAGAAAATTTTCCTCGCCCACGTATTCTCCAGACGCGAGTCCTTGTGACTTCCATCTCTTTTGAGTCATGAACTACAGCTGAGGACGACGAGACGGCCAGGATGGAGCGAATGCAGCTGCAACCTTGGGATTCGAGAGCTTCCAGAAACATCGTGGATCGCAGAGCCAATGTATCTGATTCGAAAATATCCCAAGCAATGAAGCAATTATGTTGCCATTGTGAGATGCTTCTTTCACAAGGCCAATGGGACGACAGAACTGTTTTTCCCACTCTCCGTATCTTACCTATAGTTTCACGATGTTGGGCAACTTGGCCGCCCGATGAAGTGGGTCGTCCAGCGACTAACCGCAACGAATAGTCGTTGTTTGTGAAAGGAAAAAGAAAATTTTATGATCCTCTTCTCTGATTACGGGCCATGACGAGGGTCCATCCCATCCAGAGCTTGGTTCTTCATTGTTGGCTCAGCATTTGGCAGTGATGGCGACGTCGTTATTACAGGTGGTTTTATGGGATGAATCACCCCGATATATTTATATATAGGATGCGTACATTTATGATGACAGGAAAAACGATGAGAAGTAATTTACATCTGAGGCTAATGCAATAAATCTATTTGGCATAATGTCCTATGAGGGAACTTCTATGCGGGGAGGCAGGGAAGACTAAATTCAACCATTTTATAGAGCTGAAGAGAAGGGAGTAGAACAACTGCATTTGCTAGTTTGACGGAGGGTTTGTGATAACTTTCGATGACTAATTGCTTGTTACTAGCTTGTGAGGTCAAGGTGTGAACATCACTATTCTGCCAAGCAATCCTTCGCGGTTTTTCCCCACGAGTTTTGAGTGTGAGTTTTAGCGAACTTTGAGGACTTCACTCTCACCTTACTTCAGCGGGCCCATGTGCTCCAGTTAGAAATTAAAGAGAATATTCTAGCAGTGAAAATGATGGCTCTGGTCGACGACGATGGGTTTCGATCTTTTCGTCGAGCAAAGTCGGGCTTTCACAAAATAACGACGTGCCAAGAAAAACTGCCGTGCAATGTTTCCGTCTGAAAACCAAGAGACTGAAGAGGTTGAAATTCTTCCCCAACGTAATCTCTTTTAACCATCGTCTGCATCGTTCTAAATGGCTTCCTCGAAATCATCGTTAGTAGTCATCCCACAGGCCTAATGGGAGGGATATTAGGTTTGTTTTCATGTCGTTGTCCTGAGACATCTCGCCCTTGTGTCGTCCGGAGTCATAAACCATGCCATGTTCTCTCTCTATCCCTTTGCTGGACATAAATTCACCATATGTCTGTCATCTGCTGTAAATGTATTGCAATTATCCCCTGGTCTCCTTTTTTGTAGATTTTCCGCATGAGAAAATTTCCCCATGTACCTGTGTTACTTTTAAGGCATGAGGGAGGATGCAATGCAGTGAAACAATTTCCTGAAATGGTTCGGCATTTTTTTATCGCAGGAACAGGAACAGGCATATCTGCCTTAATTATCGTAACTCATGCGATGCAACCTATGAAATGAACATCCTTGTCACGTGCTTAACCTTGGAGAGTTCATTTCTTTCCTCCCTTTCACCCTCCCACCTTCCCCACCTTTCCCACCTTTCGAGTCGAGCGTTCAGCCCTGGAGGGTTCACCCCTTTCACCCCCCCCCCCCCATATCGCTTCATCGGTCTAGGGTACATCCATTTAAAAAGGCCGTTGTTTCCTCCATTCGGAAAATCGAGAGCTCCGGAGTTCTCGAAACGTTCTATCTCGTCCACGTCTGAGATTCTCGACTCTCAATTGAGAAGAACCTCATTTGGACGAGGTCGCTATTCATCACGCCGTGAGGCACTACTCTGCCGAACCTCGGACATCCTGTTCGAGCTCTACTTCCATCACTGACTCGGAAGGTGTTTCTTCCCTATGGAACCTGCATCCCGCCACTGACTCTCTGCCTTTTCGTCTCATCATTCGCCGAACCCGGTGAAACCTTTTCTGGTGGATTTCTTCGGCCCGGTTCATTTTTCCACGCCCTCGCATGTCTTTAAGCCTTTCCGGTCCACCAGTGGCAATGAAGGTCCAATTATTTTTACACCCGGATAAAATGTCCTCTCCTTATTTGGAAATTTCCCGTTACAATTCTCATTAAAGTAAGACTCAAGGTTTTGAGTTCATTTTCCTCCGAATGAAGACAGAAGAATTACCTGCTTGGAAAAATCTTGTGAGAAACGATTTTTTATCCTTCCATGAGCCGACCCTAATTTTTGCCGTCGATTTTTTAAATTTAGAAATCGCACATGAAACGTCCAGAGATTTTTTTTTTAGACTCAAGCCCCTTTCATTTTCAAAGGTGTTCAACCGGGACCGCCTCTTCGATTGAGGGAAAGGTGATTTTGACTAGCCCAGATCTTAGCGTACTTTGACAGCAGTACTTGGAATACAGCATACAGTACATAGTCAGTGGCGGATCCAGAAATTTTTCATGGGGGGGGGGGGGGGGGGTTCCCAAGTTCCAACCCCCCCCCCCCGACTACCACTACTCACCGTCCCATCGCCTTTTTCATTTTTCGTCTGGGGTAAAAACTTTAACATCTATCTCACTGTCCCCAATAAAATTTAATGCACGAGGAACGCTCCAAAAGTAATGCAGGTTAATTTATTTCTGGCTTACATTTTGACGACAGATCTCCAAACTTTTAAGGCGAGTTGCTTAGTGGTCTCTGAAGATGTGACTATTTCTCGACGTCGTCCCCATCGTGATGAAGGCACTATCCCCAGCGTTTCACGAGGGCTTGTATGCCATCGCGGTAAAATTCCTTGCTGACATCTCGAAGCCACTTTTTGACTGCCTCCTTGACTCGATAGTCAACGTTGGAGTATCCAAGGGTGTTGATTTTCTGAAGGACACTTTGACTGATACTGGTAGTCTCGCACATCTCCATGAATGTGACGCGCCTGTCGTTTTGGATGAGTTCATCAACCTCGGCGGTGTTCTCATTCGTGCTCGAGGTCACAGGACGGCCAGAGTGCTGCTCGTCTTTGACATTAGTTTCTCCCGACTTAAAGCGACTCGGCCATCGCCTGACTGTGCTTTCGTCCACGCACGACTCCATAGACCGCCTTAATTGTCAGTGAAGGTCTGCTGCCGCACACCCTCCGCACCCAGAAATTCAATCATTGCCCGTTGCGCTGACGCGATTCCAGCGCAGCCGCCATTTTGAACGTGGTTTCGGGCTAAAGCGCCGGGGCGGATTTGGCCAGAATACAACCGCAAAGGCGGGAAGTGAGTAATGTTAACCTTGAGAAATTTCATCGGCTTACCCCAAACACTTACGAATAAAAAAAATAAATGTACATTACTATTGGAGCGACCCTTACATATGATATTTAAAAATAAAAAAAATAGAATGCTAACCTGGCCATGGGGGGGCCCTATGACCCGTCCCCTTCCCCCCCGGATCCGCCACTGCATACAGTACAACAAACATTGGAATTGGGCATCTGTCGATGAGGATACTCCATGGGGTTCATTTTTGATCGGGAACTTTATATTTTTTTTATAGATTGGAACAAATCAATTTTTGACAGTTGTGCCACACTTTCGCTCGTCCTCCTCATTCGTTCATTCTCAGTATTTCTTCCCGCTTTGAAATTGGTGGTATCATCTGAAGGCTGTTGAACACGAGGTGACTGTAGGTGTAGCTGAAGTGAGATTTCTCACTCAGGCAACCATCCTGAATCCGTCTTCTAGTTGAGGAAACTGGTGGGGGACTCATTCATTAAATGAGAGAGCTTGAATAAATTTCCCTTCATTCTTTGGGGGAAAGTCTAAAAACTTTTGGACTGACCTGCGTAATCGTTTACGTCGCGAGGCGGACACTATGGTCGCGCACTGCGCAGGTAGGCAGTTTCAAGTAATTATTTCGGAACCAATATTGCCTTCTTCTTTATTACATCGTTTCGACTTTTCTACGAAAAGTCGAAAAGTCTAAGACCGGAAAAGTTTAAAGTGTTTTCGTTCGTATTCCGTGACCTTCGCTTCCCATCAAATTCTGATCCCGTGGGTCATAGACCTGCACACGCTATCTTCGTAGCGCCCCGACCACGTGACCCTTTGAATATCAGGACTGAACAATGAACTCAGGGTCTCGCTTCTAAACACTAACGTCACTTTCATGCGACTTTGGTTAGTCACTTCAAATTTTCTTTTTGCCGGACAGCAACCATTTAAAAATGACATCCATCTTGACACAGCACGCTCAGAAGTGGCAAGTCAAACCGTGATCAGTAGATGAAAAACTTCAGTATGATGCTTTTTTTTTGTTCGAAAATCCGGTTTCTCCGCTCTCCTATAGGGTGGAGCACGAGTCTGAGGTGCATAAAAACGGTGTTTTAGATGGTCTGGGGAGCGTAGATGGAAGAACTTGAACGGAATCCCAATCCGCTTTAGTTGTTGAGCTCCAAGTGGGTGGTCAATGTCTCTGCTCAGACGAGCCTTATCTAATTGGCCTCTCCCAGTCTTATTTTAATATCCTGACTGATGAAGCAGAGGGAGGCTTTGACCAGGACGAGCAGCTGCAATTGAAATATGCCACGGCGGCGGCACGTGAATGGTCCAGGCCCCTCATTCCACGAAGTCCAAGCCTGATAACGTCTTACGTTGGTGGATATCCTCGATTCAAGAGGGCCGAAAACGGATCCCAAAGATGCGTCAGTTTTTCGAAGGGTTGGGGGATCGCATGCCCAAACCCCCCCCTTGACGAGCCCTAAGTAGAATTTCTAGAACACTGACATACCTCAAACACTATGGCAAATTGCTGGGAATGGTGCCTCTCATGATTGGAGAGATTGATTCAACTATTCATGCTATTGTATACTCGTTGGACGTATTTGGATAGACCGGAGCTCACTATCATCATTCTTTTAAAATTCTGGACATGTGAATTTTGTTTTGAAGTTCGAAGAGGAATAAAAAAAAACGAATATCCTCTGTGCACCATTATGCAAGAGATAGTCACGGAATATTAAGCATATTTTTCAGCAGCGGCATGATAATGGGTAAACTTGCAAATACGAGGACAAAATTTCCATATAGGCAGCCGATGGAAATGTGGTCTTTTGTCATATGAAGTGAGTTCAGCAACCTTCTAAAGTGGGATTCACCATCCATCATCCAGTGTACCCTCCTGAATTCTCTTACTCATCGTTTCGTCTTACGTCGATCGAGCGATGCTTCCCTCCCTGGAAAAGTCCTAGGTGATACCACCTTGCTCATCGATGGGTCGATGTTCCCCACTATCACGAAAGGATGGGAATATTAGAAGACAGAATGACATTGATTCATTGGCCAATTCTTGGAATATGAATCATAAGAATGCTCGCAGTCTGCCGCTAGTCATCTGGATCAGGGTTGTCCGACACGAACGAAAGTGCTCATATCTTTTTTGCTACAGATGGAAAACTTGATTTTTTGTTATTAAAAACAAGTGAAAACCAATTTTTATTCTTTATCGAGAGAACGTCAACATGCATGAAATTTCTATTACTGAAAAAAAAATTGAAAAGAGAGAAAAAAAAGTAGCTTGGATTGTTGTTACCATATACAACATCAGACATCACTGTAAGAGTATGTCCTCCCACTGCCATTACATTGAGTGAACTGGTAGGACAAGGGCACCTTGCGTTTCCTGCGTGCCCAGTAACAAGCTTGGCTTCCCAATGCCTTGCGTTTGGGTGTATCCAAGCACAAAATTCTTTTGAACGCCTTCCTTGAGCTTCAACTCTTCTTTGGCCTGGTGAAATAAAGTCAAAATGCCGAGAAAGTATCGACATGATCAGAGTGAAGTGAGCTGTTGCCTGAAATATCTGATTTTTGGGTTCAATGTCATATTCTGGGTGAGTTTTCTCAACAATTTAGTGTTAAATATAGGCTTAGCCTACTCTAGTTCTAATGGTAACAGTTGGACCTAAGCCTACATTGATAACCGAATCAGTTTGTGCCAATATATCAGTAACATCGTGCATACTGTTGGGCAGTGTTTATTGACCGAGCTGGCTCGTCCCTGAATTAAGGGACGAGCTGCAAGTCACCTGACTCATAATATCTCCTCAGTTGATGACACCTACACTTTATATGAGAGTTCATCCTCGAAGTTGTGGCTAAGCTAGCTTTCTGAAGCGAAAAATTGTCTAAGTTTAGGCCTAAGTCATAAAAGCTGTTGCTTATTCCAGAGGGATGGTTTTCATCGACTTACAAGTGCCATGTAGATTGTTTTCAGCAATTTCAATGAAAGAGTAGCTTTTAAGGTGCAGGATTTCGTGAAAGTAATATAGTTAGGGCAGAGAGCTCACTCAAAGCCCAGTGGAGGGAAAGAGCCCTTAATGAGTGATTTCAAACGTTAATTTCAAAAGCAGGTGCCCCCATGCCAAAAAATTTTCCTGCTTTCCAATTTGAGACATCTTAAGTTAGCTTAATTGTATATAATCTATTTCTTATTCTGACATAATGAGATTTAAATGACCATGATATCCTTCAATATGGAAGAGCTGCCTAGTTTTGGACCAAAAAAGATTACTCAAAATCTTCCCACAAGGCAAGTAAGCATCTTCCTTTACCTTTAAAGACATGTCTTTGTTCAGTGGGCTGGCAGAATCTTCATCACTTCAGAAGTGATGTTAAAGGTCATGATTCCCAGCTCAGCCACTAGGCACTGCCTATTGGGCATGGTACTTGCAAGGAGGTGAGCTTACATCTTCTGTGAAGGAAATTACATTAGGCCTATAGAGCCCATGTTAAAGGAGGGGAGAATGTATATGTAAGATGTAGATGAATGCTTCTTTTATTTCTTACATTTATCTTTCCCTCATGAGTTTTAGCACCTACCATATATGCACTATAGCTCATGCCGTATACACTTCCCTGTTGCAATAGAGCCTTCTGGTGATGTGTGCAGAGGTCAAATTTGGTTCAACTCTTCCTCTGGTGTCCATTAACATTCCCAAACCTAGACCTGTCCTTTTGCAGACATTGTATGTCTTGCACAATTCTCCTGCTTTAATGGACTATGTCTTATTCCCATGGACTTTCCCCAAGTGCACAGCAATCCTTCTCCCCTCATTTTTCTTGTTAAGCAGAGCCATACATCCTCTCATGTAATTCTCAGGTTCCTGTTTCCTCCTGTAAGCAGTGGGCTCAAAACCATTTCCCTGGATTGATTGCAAGTGCAAACTAAACTATGCAGATCTATGCAGAACGCATGTAGATCTACATGGGAGCACAAGTAAAGGAATTCTATTATGGCAGTAGGAGGAATAAAAATTTCTTGAGTTTTCTTCTGACATATGATACCATCAGATAGATGTTCTTAAGCATCAGGCTTGCCAAAATATGTCAGTGACTATTCAACTAGCCTTACAGCCTGGAATTAAATTTATGAAGGGAGAGATGTGCCCTTCATATGTTCTGGAGATTTAGCTCCTGATGCATCAGGAGAGAAAAGGAGAGGAAAAGATTGCATGTGTGATAATGTTAGAGAAAAAAATAAAAGGCAACCAGAGATTAAGGGAACAGAAAGAGCAAGAGGGGGCCCAATGCCCATTCATTAAATATTCTTAGCCCTCAGTGTTAAAAATTTCATGAGTTTGTATTTGTTTCAGTGAAATGGAAGTTTCCTATTTCAGAAGCTCTGGTTTCGTGAGGATGGGTATTGGCAAGCATTTACTTGATCTTTTTATATTAAGAAGTTGACTTACTTGATAAATTATCAGACACAGATGATTCTGAATTTTCTTATATCAGTAATTCTCCACAATGAAATAAAGTTATTTGGTATAATCTCTGTTGGAAAAGCTTATAATCTTGGTGCTCCTTTTACTCCTGGAAACGTTAGGTTTCTAGGTTTCTCAAATGTGACCATGGGATTATGTATCTCAACTGAACCATCCTGATATCTGCTAATTTTGAACAAATTTTGTTTACATGCTCATCCCAAACTAGACTATATTATTCCCACATATTTTACTTGATCCATCTCCATCGTGTAAGATTTCTTCAAAACATGTTAACCAAGTCACTCAAGTACTGCTTCTGCCTTCAGTTTCCATAACATAAGTTTGATAATGATTATTTATAAGCTTATTTCCTTTCTTGCTTCAAATAAGATTTTGCAAGTAATTCTCTGTTCCAATTGCAAGCTCATTTTTTCCTGAAGACAAATAAAATTCATCAATAAAAGCAATCTGCAAGTAATTCATGATCATCTGCTAGTTACTTGTCCATGTCATTCATATAAATTGGATAAAGGGCAAAAAACAAACCTACAAAGAATTCCCAATACTGATCACACTTTTGATGGTCTTCATTGCTTCATATTCAATGCACTAGCTTTCAATTGATGCAGTTTTCAACCTGGGTAGGTGGACCCCTGACACAATGAACTATGCATATGCCCTATATGTTATCACTATTCTATTTATTTTGCCTAGTTGGTTTATATCCTTGATTTATTAATTTTCTTTTTGTGGAAACACTCTGCATATGTAGAATCCCTATTCTCATCTAGTGAAAAAGAAAGCTTATCATTCTGACCACTGCTTCTCTTTGATCTTTATTGATAACCACTACTGTAGGTGTATCTTTAACTTCTTTAGACTGCTTAAACATGAACTTCTGTATATCCCCTCAGCTGGTGGGTTTAGGAGTGTTTGCAGTTGGGGTGTGGGCATTGACTGAGAAGGATACATTCAGCAAGCTGGGAGAGCTGACTCAACTTTATCTGGACCCTGCTTTCATTTTCATCATTGTTGGCCTGATCACATTCATCATTGGATTCACAGGATGTGTGGGAGCACTCAGGGAGAACACCTGCCTCCTTGCTACTGTAGGCAATCTTTCCTACTTTTTCATATAGGCCTAATTTAGTATCAGTATTTTTCAGATAATTTTCAGTTTAAAGCCTGACTTGGACAGGGTTTCATTTGAGAAATAAGTCATTGTAAGATGGATGATGGTAGAGACTAGGAAAACTGCCTGCCATTGTATATCAAGTGGGAAAATGTCTGACTCAATGGAAGAACACTGCATGAACTATATCGTATTACGCTGCTCTACTCCAAAGCTGTATTAGTTAAGTCCAATGGAACATTTAGGTTGTCAAGAGGTGAAATGTAATCATAATTGAAGGTGCAGCTTTATCAGATTTCAATTCAATGTTAGGTTTTTTGGTGTTTCAAGTGTAATCAAGACATCACTCTTATAATGCTGCTGATGATGTTCTTGCTTGGGCACATTTAAATGCAGTCATTTCTCACTGACAAAGGCAGGCTTTGGCACAAATCTTCATTGCATTTACTTTTACTTTGGCCAGAGTAGAATCTATCATGTGAACTGGGTACCATACTTTATGGTCATGAACTTTCACGTTCATACTTGGCTTCACCAGAAAAACAGGATAACTATAGCCTTGTGATTGTCATGATGGGACTAATGGTCACATCTGCTGGTGTCTAGTGCAGCTAGTCAGGTATTGGCAATCCCTGCCAATGACTGGTTGCATAAGGAAAGTTGAAATTAGACCTAACATGTATTCAGCTCATGCCCAGTGACTTTTTCCCCATTGGATCGAAATATTTGGATCCTTGTTTCAGCTTGAGTGGCTGCATCACTATGTGCATTTGATTTGATGGTTGCTTGTATTGTTAGTGCTTGGCTCATGTAGCAGCTGGAGTGAAGTTCATGAATGACTTCATATGTTGTGGATGTAATTTAACCAGTGAAAAACTGAGGAAAGACCAGAAACCAACAGTTTCTGGAGTATATTTAAGTGACTGAGTGCTGCAGACCATAACTGTGAAGCATAACTGTATTTATTACCTCTGTTATTCCCATTGCTACCATGTCAGTCTCATTTGATTGACATAGCAAACCAGAATGATGCAGCAAAATTGGTCCAGTGGCAAAAGTGTTAGAGGCTCTATATGCAGGGTGGTCATTTTAAGTGAGAACCCTTGAAACCATTAATAACTTTTGGTAGGCAAGAGCTGGGAGCATGAAAATTGGTAGTAATGTATTTTGTCATCTGGAAAGACGTACTGAGTATTGGATTGTGGTGAGCAATAACCCGGTGTAGGATTGTGGGACCCATCTTTTTCACAGACACCATCACCTCTCAATGGTACATTGTTATAGTCTGTGAATTTCTTGGACACTTGATTGAATAGGGAATTGCCAGAGCATGGTGGCAGCAAGATGGTGCAACAAGATACTCATCGAGGCAGAGTTTAGCCAACCTTTCCCTCTTGTTTGGGGAGTGCATCATTTCGAAAGGATTGTGACCCCCACGCTCGCCAGATCTGTCCCCTTTGGATTTCTCCCTATGGGGCTATGTAAAGGACAATGCCTACAATAATCCACACACTTCCGATGAATTGAAAAGCAACATCTCATAACTCATTGCCAACATTCCACCCATCACATCACAGGCAGTGTCTTCCAACATGCTTAGACGTGCACAGTTGTGCATCCAAAATGGTGGTGGTCAATATCAACACCTTTTGTAATAAACCAATACTCTGTACGTATTTCCAGACAACAATGTATGTTACTACCAATTTTCATAATCCCAGCTATTTCCTGCCAAAATGTATTAATGATTTCTTGGGTTCTCACTTAAAATGATCACCCTGTATATAGAGTAGGTGAGACAAATTCCCACCCTGCTATAAAGACCTCCTTACACAACATACTTCAATGTTAAATAAATCCAAACAGCCTTTTTCAACCAAGTTACATCAATGTCCTGTTCTGAAATGTGAATAGATGACGTGTAGATTTACTCTTGATTGGTGTAGATCTCGAAACCATGAATTTAAAAACATAGATGAGGGGGCAAACTTTAAACTTGAGGGGGACAGAATATGTATCACCTACCCTACCCTACCCTACATCATATTTTGTTCCATCACCTTTCTTTCCCTGATATTACAGGAAATGTTGGTAACTGCATCCTTGGGTTTTGGAGATATTTTAATGAGCAAGGAAAGATTGGTAGGTGTTAACAGAAAAAAATGTTTAGCTGATGAGAAACATGTTGAAACTTGTGGGCTTGTTACTGATTTTATGTGTAGAGGGGGGGAGGAAGCTATGTTCCTGAGTGTTTCATGCTTGAAAGGTTGAGTAATGTCTCTTCCTGAGCTTCACTCCTTGTCGTATTCTCTTCCTTGCAGTATGCTGTGTTCCTCTCTATCTTGTTGCTGCTTGAGATGACACTTGGAATCCTTGGCTTCATGTTTAAAGATTGGGTGAGTTCATTCACTCCATTTCGGTCCTGCCAGTTTAGATTTAACACCACTTGTGCAGTGACAATCATTAGTATTTGTTTCCTATTGCAGATCAAGGAACAGGCTACAGGTGGCTTCAAGAGTTTCATTGTGCACTATCGAGATGATCCTGATCGACAGAATATGATAGACTGGATTCAAGAGAATTGGGTTAGCTTCAGGTCTTCCTATGTTATACACTAATGAAACTTGTGTTTAAGTGGTAGTATTTTAAGATAACAATTTCAATGCTTTTTGAGATGCAATGGAAAAAGTTTAATGAAAGAAGGTTGTGGTTTTCCTCATCCCCTTGGAAATGTTTACCATCATTATGCGGGGAGTACTTGTCAAACTTTTAATACTTTTCGTATATTTTTCCTCACTACCTTTATAATTATCTCAAAAGTCTTGCATATTTCAGGTTAGTAATGTGGAGGAATAAGGAAAGACCAAGGTGAAGCCCCTTCTCAGAGTAGGCCTGGCCTGTGTTCATAGCTTTTGCACAGTTTTCAGATTGAATTTGTACCCCCCCCCCCTCCCTTCCCATATAGTGGAGAATAGAGGAAACAACACTTTCAAAGGCTTCACTTCATTAGGTGATAGATATGACCTCACACATGGAAGATGTCACTACCTGCAGTTGATGGAAGCATACATATACCCCCCCCCCCAAAGGGAAGGGGTATGAATTCAATCTGAAAACAGTGTATTACTCTCTTGAATATGTTAGCCTTTCTGTCCAGAATCTACATTGTAAGAAGCATTGATTTGTTTTCTCAACTTGAGGCTAGATTAAAAGGGAAAAGAAACCTTTCAACTATTTCAGCCTTTCAGTTTTCAAATATTTGCTGATAATCTGCCCCCCTCCCTTTTGCTAATGCTTTTTCCTTAAAATTTGCAGTGGCTTCTTGGATTTCCTGACATTTTCAAATGGTGCAAAAGCCATTGTTTAAAAAAAAATAGTTCCTTGAACTTCTTGGTTGGTGTAGAAAAATGGGATGAGGTCTCTTGGTCAAGCCCTTTATAGAAATGTGTAAATGTGCAATCCTGTTCAGAAGTAATGCTGCATTACCCAGGACTCAATTTTTTATAGATGCAAACCCAAAATGGGTATGGGAGGGTGGGGCAACAGAACCGTTTTTGCAGTCCTCAAAAATTTGGTTTTGCTGCAAACTTCCCAGAAATTTAATATGTTCCTCAAACTCTTCCTTGAGTAGAAATTTAAAGCACAGTCTAAATTCATTTTAAAATTTACAAAAGATTATGTTCAAAAGTCCATGGTTCCCTATACCTGGGGGACAATGAATGAATGAATAAGCTAAGCATAAACTGTTGTCTATGTTCAGCTTAGTCCATGGGTTGTTAAGAAAAGTATAGTAGGAAATGGCACATGGGTGAACTTGCACTTGGTTTTCAGAGTCATATATGGGGCAAGTTTAATCAAATCTTTGATTCTTGAGGTGCTTCAGATGATCTGCAGTGTTCCACTCTCCTATATAGTTTTGAGGTGTACTGATTCAAATGTATCAGATGATATATATATACCACTTGTATCATTTATCAAGGTTTTTATTGCTGTATGATCACAGGTTGATTTTGCATAAGTAAGTTGAATATATCCCAAAATCTTGATGAATTTATTCATTTATTTACATGCAGGGTTACTTGGAAAGGCTTGCCTATATATGCATGGAAAGTTGTGAATTGTAGCATCACAAATTTTCTATGTTGCCCAGTAACTGTAAATCACAGATCTATTCTGAAACTTGCCTCCCAGTGGATTTCTGTCTGCATGGCTGATATCTTATGAAATGCTGCCTGTAAAACCTCATGATGTGAAAGTGTTGGGTTATTCATTATGGAGTATGACTTTAGCATAACCCTGAATAAATGAAAAGGGTCAACTCTGAGTGCTCAGGTATATTAACCCAGAATAGTTTTATGTCTACCATAAGATATCTCTAATGTGGGAAATGCTAAAAGGTTCTGAGCAGCATGAGAGCTGGAGTTTCTTTTCTCTCTAGCTGCAATGCTGTGGGATTGAGGGACCAAATGACTGGGACAACAACATCTACTTTAACTGCTCATCTGCTGCTGTAGGAAGTAGGGAAGCATGTGGAGTTCCTTTCTCCTGCTGTAGACCCAAGGATGAGGTATGTTTTTCCCTTAGCTAGGCATGCCACACATCAAACCTTGATCTCTCAATCGCCAGTGTGCAAAAAGTTATTAAGGTAAATAGCCCATGAAGTTGGTGATATGATCTAATGGTGTAACTTTTGCCAGGATATAATCTGTGATTTGAATTCTGATGGATAGATGGCATATTGTCAGTGCTGCAAATGATGAAGTTAGCTTATTTGCCATTTACTTTAGTATCTTACTTAATTGACATGAATTATAATATCCCATGATAGTGTTAAAACCACATATGTAATAGCCTTTACTCAACTCAAATTAGTGATTTCATTACATATGAATAAAATTTCAGGGATCAAGATTTGATTTTTACCCACCCCTATTTTCCCAGTTTGATCCACTTTTGCACAGGTTCATTACACTTACATGAGTCAACATACAGTTGATGCCTAATTCATCTTGAATTATTTGCAGGACATCATCAAGAATAGGCAGTGTGGCTATGATGTGCGGAAATTGGATTATGTGAGTCTTTCCTGTTCACCTGCCCCTCATTGATGAAGTCTCCGTATAATTGTAAAATTTCAGTCTAGACAATTAAGTGAAGAGCAATAAAGTAATGTGAAAAGTAAAAATGGAACAAACTATACAAATAAAAATAAAATTTTTCCATTTTTCTCATTTGGTGAATTTTATGTATGCATTATATCTCTAAAAGATTTTTGTATTAGCAGTGATGCCTTACTGGATTAATTCATATTTCATTTCTTGAATGGTGTATCAAAAAATAATTCCTGTTATTGGGTTTTGACTTGCTTCAGTGCTTCTTGTGAGTGATGTTGTTGACTTGTATGATGTACATTCACAAACACTTGAGTGACACTGCAACTACTTTTACTAACATCTTCCAGATCCCATTGGCATGTTCATGTCCATTCCTCATAGAGAATGAGAGAACTCACACTCCCTTGAACTTTCCCAGTTTCTACTGAATACCTCTGATTCACCTTTATGAGGTTACTTATTGTAGGAATCATAATTCCAGGAACATCAGAAATCTGGAATTTATTTTTGAATATTCAATGAAATATTGATATTTATCCAATATCTTCCCTTTTTTCAATCATACCTGTCACAACATGATAGAATTTAGTTGCTTGCCAGGAGAGTGTGGCAAGAGAGTAACCAAAATAAATATTTGGAGAGTTCCATTTGTGGGTGAATCATGGTAAGAAGTTCTTGATATCTGAAGAACTGAGGGGATGCAATTTCACACTGCCCCTGTGGGCATTCTAGGTATACTGTATGCTCATTTTATTTTACTTGCAATCCTTGATCAATAGGAGATGTAACTTGGAGTCGTTGATCTCTACTGGGGTCTTTCTTATTCATGTTTGAAAAAAAAAAAGAATTGTCCATGGACCCAATCAATATACACTATATTGCCAAAAGTATTGGGACAGGCATCTGTCTGCTGATAAGATTGTCCCAGGGATCATGTAGTAGAGGGTATTACTGTAGTCCAAAAGTATATAACAGTTGTCTGCCATCTGTTACAATTGGTGTTTGCCTGTATGGTACATGGATTGGACCTGATGGAGTTTGAACATGGAATGATAATTGCTTGTCATGCCGTCCTTTGTCCCAATACTTTTGGCAATGTAGTGTATATCATTGTGTCCAGGTCAAGGTCCTTAACCTTAATACTTTCACTGCCAAGGGTTTTGTCCCTGCACTGGCATCTAGTTTCAAAGAAATTCTGGAAATATGTTTTATATCAATGTAAACAAAGCAGTATTTCATTCGCAGCAACCTATATACTCAAAAACATTTGAACACATTGACTGCTGGGGATGTAATTGCCCTTAAATGTCCATGCCAAGCACTGCAGGTTGATGGAGACATGCCATGTCAGACACACCATATGACATGAATGACAGTCAATGTGTTAAAAGATTTGCATTGAATCTGTACTGAGTGATGTAGATAGTTTGACATGGACAAGGTTTGGAAAAATTGTGTACACTGAGCGATCCCCTGATTTTATAAGAAATGCAAAGATGAAATTAATTAAAACCTAAATTTCAATGGCATCAGAAAGAGACATTTCAACAGCCCTGAATTACTTGAAACCATTCAGTGAGGAAGGAATTTTCTCCCTATCTATGTTCCTGGAATAATTATTCCTATGATTTAGTCTTTTTGGCTTGGATGTAGGAGCTTGCATGTGATGAGTTGAATTGGAATTGACCTATGCCATTACTAACATTAGCCAGGGGATCGGGGTGAGATCATTTATGAGCGGGGATGCCTGCAAGCAGGCCAGGAATGGATTGAGGCCAACTTGATCCCCGTGTGTGGTGTGGCTGTGGTTGTTGCTGTCCTTCAGGTATGACTTTCATCACTAACAAAACTAACCTCTTGTCTCTCTTCTGTTTTGGGGTGACTACCTGTAAAAATTGCTTATCCAACTTACTGATCACTTAGTCACCTGAATAACAAGGTGATTAAGACCATGTAGATTGCCCAAAAACTTAACCCTATTTTAGTTCTGGTAAGACAAGATAATGGAAAAGTAAAACTTATTTGGATATTTAATATATCCAAGTGTACGTATTGAATGTGTCAGCACTGTCACCAAAGTTTATTATATCCATCATCATGAGGCTAACATGAGTTAACTCTGGCATGGACCCCAAAGGGTTAAGCCTAGTGGGACATCAGAATCCTTGTGCCCTTCTTTCCTTCTGTCTTTCTTCTTTGCTGTGCTTATCTGCATGAGAGCATGTGCATGGCACTTGAAACACAAGAGTCTAACCAGCTTGCAAACATGGTAAGTGGAGAGAAAGCTGTTGAGATGCCCTGAAAACAATGTCCTGCAGCCGTTCGAGGTGTCCAAGGTGATCTACGATAAGGGCTGCCTCCTCTCAGGGGAAGAGTGGCTGGAACGCAACCTCCTCCTGGTTGCAGGTGTTGCTGTTGCCATTGCCTTCCTTCAGGTTGTCTCACTTATGCTTTTCTTCCCACTCTCTCCCCTTCGTTCATGATGGGCAGTAGTGTAGAAAGTCTGAAAGAGTGAAGGAATCAGTATTTGAGGGCTTCATTGCCCATTTCTATACCACCTTTGAAGAGAGTATAGGATTTCCACTGACTGGAAAGTTTAATTTAAAATTCAGTGAAATATACACCAGATCAGCCATGGAAAATTCAGCAAAATGGCCAAAAAGGTCACATGCAAAGGAAGTGGAGGTAGTGAATGATAGTATGGAGAAGTTTATGGTCTTCATACTTATATCTACTTTGGTCAGGAGTATTATCCCAAAAGGAGTGGAAAGATCTGGAAAAGTCAGGGAAATTTAATGCTTAAATCTTTGTGGGAACCCTGAGATTTAATCTATAACAATTAGTTTTAAGCAGGACAAACAAATTTAACTATTTTGTGTGCACAAGAGTTAAATTTGTGGGAAGTATTCTCAGAAAACACTTGACCCTCCCAGTGCCCTAGGAGGGCTTCCTCCCACTTTATTACCCTCGCATCATCCACTGGTGACCATAATAGATAAAGAATCATTTCCACCACAAATATAAGGGAAAAATTTTGTTTGTGGGGAAAAACTGGAATTTCTCAGATTAACCTTTTAATGCATGATGTAGCAGATATGCTACATACCAAATAATAATTTTTAGAATGCATAGGTAGTGAGCTCCTGAAGTAAATTGATTCGTAGCAGATGTGCAATTGTCCAGTCCTTATACCTAGCAACCATGTGGTCTCTAGGTGCCATACACTAAGCAAATTAAACACACCTAGCCTCATCATGTGACAAACTTACATTTTGGTGCAGTTATTTTCAACTTAACACTAATCCAATGTCTAGGCGTGTCTGTATTTTTGCATATTCTTTTGCATTGAGATATGTACCAATGTTGACGGACCGTATGAGTTTTCTAGTGTCCATGCAGTGTAGCTTAGAAAGCTGAAAATGCAGTTAGTAGCAAATGAGCAACAATAACATTTTTGGGCCCACTGCTTACAAATATGAGGGGAAAATTTTTTCCCCACTTTTCCTAGGATGTAAGTAAAACCTAACAGATTTTTTTTGCTGAAAAATAAAAAGTCATGCATTGAAGTGTTGAAAGCCTCTATAAGTGGAAGAAGAAAATGAATAATGCCATTTGCACATGAGAAAATTTCCCACAAAAGGGTTAACTCTTTTGCATGCTTGTGCATTGCTATGGGCTGAGAATTTGAAGGATGCCTGTGCCAAATTGTCAATTTTTAGTGCTGAAAACCCATATTTCAATTAAAACATTTTCGCAAAATGCACCCAGGGTGGGTACCTTCTGTCCTTTTGAACAATATAACCTCAATGAGGTAGATGACTTGGGTTGTATACTGTAGGGGAAGAAAAGACTATTTCTATTATGCGGAGTAGGTAGCTTGCAGTTTATGCTTGTGAATAGGCCCAAGTTTAAAGGAGAAGTACTTTCTCCAATTTATTGCCAAATTCACTGGTCTTTGTAATGAAGGCCTACATCATCCTGGTCAAAAGTATGAGGTGAGTGCCTGACTGCTTCTAATTTGAAATGTATTTTCATTGACTGACATTTCAATCATTTAGTAATTGCTGTGGTGTCCCTATTACTTGGTTGCAGCAGTATAGGAGGGGCTCTTCAGGGGCTTCCTGAACATTGTGTATGTAGGCAGAGCTAATAAGTAGCTAAGGGATCCGTGCACCCACTAGTCAGTCTCATTCTAGCTGCTATCAGATGCAGGTTGGCTGTTAGAAGAAGGTAGGCAAGAAGGTAGCAGCTGACTACAGCCGACCAACAGCAAAGGTTTATGCTCATCCTCCCTGTTGCTGTCATAGCCTGGTTGGATCCAAGTGGAAAGTAAATCTTGTGTTGGTAAATGCTGAGCTAAGGAAATGTGGCTTTGTGCATTCTTCCTCCCTGTCCTGGAGAAAAAAAAACAACTAGTTGGTCACATTTCATCTTGTTCCCCAGGAGTCAGGTCATCAATTTTGACAGCAAACACAGATTATAGCATGAGATTCCCCGTGTATGAAAGCATGAAATGAAAGTATCTGCTCTTTGAGCATTTCTATCCTGATATATTCATTAATTTTTATGGAAATAGATGTTGAGGATTGGTTCAACATTTATCCTGTGTAAATATGAGGGGAAGAATGAATACAGAAAATAATGAGAACATGAATGTTGGAAGAGGATGGTGACAGTTTGGGAATTTCCAATTGAAAATTGGAAGCCTCAACAATGTCTCTCCAGTCATATCAGTCAGAGTTTAGCTCTCTTGAAAACCTTGGGAAAGTGATAATACTATGTGTGGTGTTAAATTTTCATTTTGGAAAAATGAAGGGATATATCTTTTCTTCATTGCAGATCCTGGGGATATGCTTTGCTCAAAACCTTCGAGCAGACATTTTTGCTCAGAAAGCCAAGTGGAATTGACAACGACTCCACGTCTAAGCTCCATCTTCCCATTGTCTCTGTCGTGAGCTTAGGCGTGTGCATTGTCATCATTTAAATTTCCACTTAAGGCAGCTCCTTCTCATCCTCCATTTTTCATTTTTGGAAGAATCTCTGAAAGCTATGAACATTCCAAAGTGGGAATCAAGGTGATGAATGTAAAGGTTTCATGATCTTCTCTGCTAGAACTGGACTTGTAATGCGAACTTCTTGATCTGAGTTGGATTCTGCCATGCAGACCATGCTTTGATGTTAAATTTTATTTCTTTTTGAGGGTTGTATGGAATAGTGCCTGTATCCGGTCCTCACCAAGCATTTTCATGCTCCATATTTATGTGTGGATGTGTGCAATTAACTGTGATCAACTTGTACTCATTTTTTTGTTTCAAAGAGTCTTACATGAATGAAGAAGTGTTTGAGTGAGAGCCTTGAATTTCCAAGACAGCCAGGGATTAGCATTCCTTGAAGAACCAAGCTTACACCAAAGTTATGAATGCAGGTTATTTGAGATTAACTTTTTTTAAAGTTGTCATTCATTTCTCTTGTCCATCTCCATGTCAGTGTCAGCTCCATCAAGGAGTGAAATCACGACTTTGATACTCCTTTATATTGCTATCCTGAATAAAATGTCCTTTTAATAGAGTTGTGTGTGTGTGTGTGTGTGTGTGTGTGTGCAAGGTCACACATTGCATTACATATACTGTATGTCCAGAAAACATGTTACGTTTTGTATTGTATACTTAGTCTCAAAAACACTCGCATAGGCACAACCTGTTCGCTGAGACGAAGTTTTAAGCCAAGTATGCAGTATGCACCGGTGTCTTGATCGTAGGCTAGAATCAACAGACAAGTGTTACAATTTATAGTCGGTCATGGATTGACCGCCGTGGATCCTTGGCCGATTGGTCGCCCGACATGACGTCTCTGGACTTTTGGCTAAGGAGCACTCAGAAAAAAATGTGCCGCACCAAGCCTGCAAATGTCCAGCAGTTGAAAGCTGCCATCGTCACCGCCGTCCACGATATCGCTCCAGCCGAGTGCTGTCGTGTGATAGAACACATCATGGTCTTTCGTATACGTTCCTGCCTGCAAGTCGATGGACGCCACTTGGAAGGCACACGTTCCATATCATGTATCTCGGTCCATCATAACTTCTGTGGTCGTAATGTTCCATCCGTGTGCATATTATCTCATATGTTTCTAAGACTAAATAAGAAATGTATAATGTTTTCCGGACGATGGTATATTTTGATATGTGAAGGGATGTGAATGGTTCAAAGGAAATCAATTGTCTTAGCCATTGGCTGGCTTCATGGCATTCTCAGGACTGGGATGATTCAGCACTCGGCTCAATCATAGCTTGCGAAGAAAGCATAAAACCAAATGGCGAATGTAAGGACTTAGAATCTATTCCCTCAATATTTCAGGACTGTTGGTGCTTTCAATCGTTGACTCCCCGACAAAAAGTTCTGGCGGGAAATATTACTGGTTTTACAAAGTTTGTGATGGACTTTTCCAGCAGGTGGATCGCCATGCAGGAAACGTCACTGTTTCCTATCGGAAATTAGAGGGTAGGCATTTTCCGACCGGAAAAGCAGAAATCGGAATACAGCATACCAATTTACAAACAGTCTGGTTGGATATGCTGTTCTTCCTGCTGGACGTGGCTCACATTTACGGATTTACAGCTTGCTGTTTCTAGCTGGAACTTTTTGCTGGGATAGTTGACTCATGAGTTAGATGCATTTTGTATCAAAATACTGTACAAATATTTTAGAAATATCCTGCTTGATGAAACACTTGTGCTGAAGTGTTGTGAATGCCGTGATAGTATTGCATTGAGAGATTCCTTAATAATTGATGCTTTTATGCAAAAAATATTTACAATTGTAACGCGCGCGGTCGTCTGGCGTGGCCGGTAGTTCTACTCGTACGTCTTTGTACTTCGATAGCTACCCGCAAACTACCTTGACCGTCGCGAAAGAAGAAAATAATTTACAATTTAAAGAAATGGATGTTAGAAATATGTCCCCTTGGGAAGGTTCGTAGTGGTCGGACGGAATCAGTAGCCGTTAGGCAAGGATTCCAACAGACTGGGTTTCACGCAGATTTTGTTTACTCTGATCAAAGGTTTACACACCGTACAAAGTACCACTTCACCCAATTAACAAAAAATGGGAGAATGTACAGAATCTCTCAGCACAACTTCGCGAGCGACAGCTTTCGCTCGAGAAAAGTAAATGAACAAAAATGAAATGATTTAACCCTTCAAAGAGCAAGATTCAGCTCACCCCCTCAATGAAGCACTTTCGCGAGGACTCATGATTTGTGCAATCATGGCTAAACAACGAAATCGGAAGGGGTTGCTTTGGCTCCAACCGTCCACAATTCGATTTCGACCTTGCGATGCATCCATTCTGCTTCCGACCAGATCCTGGGTGGATCTGGTCGGAAGGTCGGAAGCCCAGCTACAACCAGCACTTGGGCACCTCGGCTCCAACCGAGTAGAAACAGCAAGGTAATGATTTACCAAACAGGGACCCTAACCCGGTGTCTGATGATAGCAGCAGCGAAGTCCGGAACTCTTCACCAACCTCCGCCTCTCCTCCCTTCCACTCTCAAAGTGGAGTTTATGTAGTGTTCTCTATGTCCGTCCACGTCACGGTAAACTCGGACGCTGAATGGTCAGAAGGCCGGAAGGATGATACCAAAAATGGATCCAGGAGATTTGGTGAAAGTGATTGACCTCTGATCCCTCTTGACAGCGGAATCACATCAAAGCCATGGATTACACGAAGGCCGCGAGTTTGTTTTCACGTCGTTGTCACAATTCTCTCCCATTCTCCTCTGTTAATGAGAAAGGGACACGCGTAGCGGAGGTGTAGCAATTCCATTAATTCCAACCCCTTCCAGGACCGTAACCTGGCGCCTGACGGGAAGGCAATAAGTCATGAGGTGCGATACACAACAGTGACTGGGAGAAATATTCAAATTTGAAGTTCTATTAAGCTGCCATACTGTAAGAGGAAATGATGTTCTATAGCTCTTCATTTTCAATGGAATATGGCATTTTTGCAATCACTGCCTGCTAACTGCAAGAATGAAAATTCCCATCCTTCAATGGCCAAAATAAATCATTTTTCTTCGCCACAATTTTGGATGGTACGAGGGAAATTACAATAATTCAAGCATGGTCGTGTCATCCGAAGTGTATTGTAAAACTTGAATACAGCTCCAGCTTCTTGCTTAGAAATGTGTTGCTTAGTTTGTGCCATGAAACTCCAAAACGCTTTTCTCATTCTATTGCAAAAATCTGCCACAGCCAGTGGTGACAAAAGGAACCAAGTAAAGCTATCTTTGTTCAAGAATATGAACACAGACGGCTTTACTTGCTTCCTTTTGTCACGTTGGGGCCAGCTTAGTGTTGATTAGAGAAGAAAAAACCTGCTAAAACAGTAAAAAAAAAAAATACTCAAATTGGTTCAGGATGGTAATAATGAGGTTAAGTTTTTCTCGGGCGAGAAGATGAAGAGTCCCAACATTTTTCTGTTTCTGGGACAGAATTAAGGCCTTGTTACGACAGGTAAAGTTCTTTCCCTAATTTCTTACAATCAAGCGGTTACCTGAATTCCATTATAGCATATATTGACTGCATCCATGATGTCACCTCGCGAAGCGCGTGATGACCCAGCAACTAGATCGGTTTCGCGAACAGGTTTTGGAACGGCGATCCTAATGAACCCGGGCCAAGCTCAGTGCAGAAAATTGGCATGCATCCTTCTCCCCAGAGAGCTATCACGTTGTCCAGGAGCTCTTTCGTATCTAGAAGCAGTTGCCTCATGTTTTCCCGTTGTTGCCCTTGGACACTTGCTCTCTCGTGACAAAGATTCAGGCCGAGTCAGAGTGCACTGAACTTGGCCTCTGTCATTAGGATCTCTGTATCGATATCTCTTCACGAAACTTTGATCTAGTAGCTGGGGCATCACGCGCTTCGCGGAAAGTGATAGCGCGGATGCGGTCAATAAATCTCGCTCACCGTCATACTTCGCCGTTTTGGAAACGAAATCCCCAAAATGCATCGGCCTGAGAATGGACTTATTCCGTTTTCGTCTCGAGGACGAGATGGAAAGGGGCATCTCACGAAACATATCCCTTCGAGGCCAGACAGCAAAAAGCTCTTGATCGATGAGAAAACCAGGATAATGCCTTTTCTCGAGAGAGGAAAAAGTAAAAAAGGAGAAAGTGGTGCCATGTCGGAACATCCCTCCATCACTACCGTTATAAGAATCATCGAGATTCTTTTATCCTTTAGGGAGAGTGTTGCTGACATTCTGCTCGTTGCTGCTTGTTGTAGTGTGAATGGTATGAAGTAGCGTTTTTTTTTCATATTTCTTGTCACCGCCAATGTTACGTGGGACAAGCTATATTCATTCCAGAAACGCCTGAGCTCGCCAAGTATGACACGTCACAAGGTAATCGAGTTGTATTTAGTAGAAATGATACTCTGGTGTAAATCAACCTTCATGGGCGATGAAAAGAGTCCGATGAAGCAACCAACTAAGGAAGCAAGGTTTCATCATCTTTAACGATAAAACTCTTGTTGAAAGGCTGGGACTTGAGCTAATCGTCTTTTCGATCACATTCTGTGACGGGGGAAATCGAACGAGACTCGGATTTTTCTCTCAGTCAATATGTGCCGGCCGGGGAATTCATCTCTTCGCCTCTCCGTGACGCAAATACATGAAGCTTAGCCATTTGAGTTTTAGGTGAGAGATGGAGCACTGACATTCACCAAAACAAGAGCGCAGATGTGTATTGTGTATCGTTCTGTGTCTAGTCGGCATCTCGAGATACTGGCGAGGATCGTTTGCTTACCAAGTTTGTTTCAAAGAGGTCAGGTCACTCCGACTGTGGCATCGGTTACCTCGGATTGCGCTTCTTAAGTCCGAATCGCCATTCCCATTACCGACCTTCGTTCCAGTGTATGAGTCTATTTAAAAAATTACTAGCATTTTCTCAAGATGTGTGGAATTTCCACCCCAGAAAATTGATAAAAGGGCGAGAGCAGAAACGAGTGTGAGCTATTTCCATCGCATCACGTTATAACTAATTGGATGTAACGCCACTAACTCAGCTACAATAAAATGAAAGCATACTTAAGAAATACAATGCCGTGTCCAACCGCATTTCCTCAACTGTGCTGTTCAAACAACTCTGGCGAAGTGTGAAGAGCAGAAAAAAAAAATTGTAGGTTGCAGGAAGCAGATCCTCGGATATTCCAACTGGGTGTTGTAGAATTTAATTGGAGATGGTGACTTTTCTTTCCGAAGGGAATCGTACTGCAGATGTTCTTGCAGACGTTTCATTCCTCGAGAAGAGAGCGAAGAGGAGTGTGCTCGTTTCGGTGCCGACAGATTAAAAATTCACGAAAGAGAAGCCTCATAACTTCTTCCGTCGACTTCGAAAAAGATTTCCAGGATTTCTCACGGGCTCGAGGGCAATTATTTGGGATATAGAAGCAGAGAGATCGCTCGAAAGATGGAAATTCCCAGAAAATGGAAGGAAAAAACTGGAATCGTTTCCTTTCTCTGGGAGAAATCCAGACATTCTTCACATTTCGTTTTCCGTCGGAATGAGACTTCCAGAGTTCCATGTCAAAAAAAGGCTTTTCTTCGACTGAATCTTTCGAGTCAATTACAGGTCATCGACGAAATTCAACTCACTGATACGGTTCCGGTCTTGGATTTTTCTCATCGCCCGGTCGACGTTATATCACACTCTCGTTAAAGCACTTGCACGAACCGAACGACGAAGAGTCTCTCTAAGAAATGCCGGACTTGAGCTGTATGCTGTTCTGGAGATAGCAGACGCAGCAGGAGGGAATCTTGAACAAGTCCGTGATCGTGTCCCCGTGCACTTCGTTCAGGGCCAGCATCTTTCGAAAGACGAACTTCTGCCTGCAGATCGTCTGGAATCCCAGGGGAATCTCGAGACCCAATCTGCACGGCCTCCCCGGGAATCTGTCGGAGTTATAGAAAATATATATATTGAGCCGTCTCGGTGAAGAAACTCTTTTCGAAACGCTATTCGTCCTGAATGTTCGGTGAAACATTCCAGCTGTTGACCCCGATTTCAGTCCAAGAATTTAATCGTCGAGTTTATAGACATGGAATGAAGAGTGAGTGCGAATTGTCAGTTGCCTATAATTTCGTGCCAGCTGCCAACACATGTGCTCTGCTAAGGAAAAATTTCTCTAACAATTTTCACGAGAAGATTTTCTTCCGCTTGTCGCGAAAATTTGCTGCAACTAAATCTGTGTTCTCTAGGACACTTGCGAAGCAAGCGGCGACCCCACTCTATGCCTACAGCTTTTCATTCTCGCTTTCATACGTATTTTCCCTTACTATCATTTTCAACCTATCTCACTTGATCATCTTCAACAGAACAGTTTTTTTTTGTCCTTTCCTCCACCCATGGCAAATATCTTCACACCACTCCCCACTTTCTTCGTTTTATTTTTCAACAGCAAATCCTCCCGAACTAAAAAAAATAAAGGAATTTGTGCTTGGTATAGCGGAATTCCTCGTTTGTTCGAATATTCCTTTTTAAAAAACCGGGCAAGTAGGAGTTTCGTTCAAGTACTGTGTTACCGCCATAAATTTCACCACCCAACTCCCCATACTTCACGTGAACGTTTCAACTCATCTAATCGCGAAGAAGCGGTACGAGAAGATGAAGAAATTATAATTTAAAAAAGTGCGGGAAGGCAACTTACAAGCACTTTTCAACCCTGACGGCCTGAACGTATCTATCATCGTTGATGAGAAACTTCATCTTCCCCTCCTTCGTCCTCCCCGCCCTCGGGTATATCACTCGCTCCTGCGTAAAAAAAAATCAGATTAAAGCATTTCATTCGTGAAAGATGAATCGACAAGAAAACGGAAGAATGGAATTTTAAGGGGGAAAAATTATTTGCCGAGCCTCGTCCTGAGAACATTTCTTCGAGTTTTCCTCTTGAAAGAAGTTACCAAAAAAGTAGGGCCATCTGAGGAATTTTTCCTCGATTAAGCCAGCCTGCGATTCCTCTTTTGGCTCTTGCATCGAGAGATTGGCAAGGACGACCTCGTGGTTAATTTACCCTTTAGTGCTTGAATGCAAAACAAAAATATTTTTTTTTTTAACGTTTAAGGAGATGCTCCGCCATAGTCGTCGCACGTTCCACCGCTGGAAAGCAACATGAACTGGTCTCCAAACCGTGAACAAATCACAAAATACGTCGAGGCTATGTTTTCGGGTAGGAAATGTTTCCACGCGCGATGACGTCACAACGGGTTGGGAAGGGAAAGAAAAGCAAGAAACGGAATTCGGTGCATGCCACGAGAATCGACGTCGGATTAACTCCAACCCGCCGATCGTCGACGACTTGTCGCAATCTCCATGCAAATGAGCAGCTGTGGGGATTCTGATGAGAAATCCGCTTCCATCGCAAAGCCATATATGGCTTCACGCATTCGCTCGTCACACCTGGCGTTTTTCACGCGCAGTAAGTGTCGATGGCGATGCAAAGGGACCGTATCGGTGGAGTGGAATCCACGGAATCCGTGTTGCTTCTTTCCTAGTTGCCTGACCTGTGCCGGAAACTGGTTTTCTTTGTTATTTTTTTGCCTATGTGGCCTACTCCACATCTTGACTTTCACTAGCAAGCCGAACGCAAACAGCAGAGAGAGAGAGAGAGAGAGAGAATTTCTCCCTTTTCCCCGTTAGATGGAGTAGGGTAGGAAAAGAGCAGACAGTCATCTGCGTCGTCTACGAGGAACCGGGTGAAAACTGTGCCTGACCGACCCCCAGCTCCGAATTGGTGTGCCAAACTGCACGAAACCTATACTGCTGTTGCAGGGATGCGAGACCTGAAGGAAAAAAAAACACTCAGTAGGAGTTCAGAAAATGCAGATCTTAACTCTACACGAACTTTTTTGTTTTGTTTTACAGGTTCTTACCAACAGGACTCTTGATGGTATCGAAAAACGATTATAGAAGTAGATCTTCGCGATACGGATTCCCTACAAGAGTCAGGCATCGCTGTACCTGCACCTGCATTATTCCATGTTTTCAAGCAGTCATTTCTCTTCCTGACGTCGCTCTGAAGAAACTATTAAATCTTGTTGAAAGATTCGAAGCGTATACCGGATGGCGTTCACCGACCGTTTCCGGTAAGGAAGTCCAAAATGAAGAGAAATGAAGTACAGAAATGGAACTTGCTGACGGCTACTTCGTCCAGAAACTATTCGTCAACCCTACACTTCCACCGATCCTCCACGGTGATTCTGTCAGCTAGGAACTGCAATATTTGGATTTGTGGGTGTAGGAATCCCCTGAGGCCAGTCCCGTCCAGGCACCACCCAGGATTTCAATTTTATTGCAAGTCGTCAGAACGAGATTCCTGGGTGCATGCGCTGTCTCCAGGGGTGAAGCCGGTGGGAGAAAGTCGGGTCCCGATCATCCGGATCGAATCGCACGGACCGAGTAGGGTGCGAGGAGATAAAGGGCGAACCGATGCGGGGTTTCGGTGTTACCTCGGATCTGCAGAGTGGGGATTCCTGGGTGTAGAAGTCTTCCCCGGGGATGAGGCCGGAGGGACCGAGTCGGGTGTCGACGGGAGGACGGTCCACGTCGGAGAGGATCTCGTCGTCCTCGAGGTCGTTGTCGAAGACCGCTTTCTCCTGGTCCCTCGTCGTGAACCTCCTCCTCACGGCGGCGTTCACCAACTGCCTACGAGTCCACGGAATCCCTTCGCTTTCAGAGGGTGCATCCTTGGGGCGTTCGTCGAGATCGACCGAGTCGATACGGTTTTGGTCATTTAGATCGGAAAAGGAGTGGACCGAGAACGGATCTCTGCTGCACTCCGCGATGAATTGGCTTTCGTGAGAAAAAGAAGGCGAAGAAACGGGGGACTCACGAGGGGTAGGACCGCACGTCGACGCAGAGTCCGTTCAATTCCTCCTCGCAGATCGGTTCCGAGATGGATTCGGACGGAAGCGACGGCGGTTGAGGTAGTGGACCCTGGGTCATGACGGGGAAGATGACGGCCCCCGAACTCGCCGGCGTTCCCCTGTTCAACGCGGTTCCATTCGAGACTCCCTCTCTTCTGTGCGGCCTCGCCCACGCCTTTCCTCCTCCGATCGCCCAGATCCAGCACGTCTGCAAATTCGGCAGTTGCATTCGGCCTCGAGTGCCACCGTCGGCATGTGGAAATCCTCAGTTACCGTTTCCGAGAATTACCGGATGGATCGATCGTCGATGATCGCATCGAGGACATACCGATCGGTAAAACCGGTGACCGCATCGACCGTTGCAGGTTGTGTTGCACTGCAGACAATTAGTGAGAGCCAATTGATCTCTACTTTCGGAATGTACCTTCCATCAAAGCTTTTAGGAGCACGAAGAGTTACATTTTCGGTCTTTCAATTATTGGCGTGCTCGGTGTTTTAAGCACAAAGAAAGTGTGAAAAATAAATGCAGTGACACATTACAACTACTCCCGAACAAACGAGGCAACAATAGCTTAACGAAGTTTACAGTTCGCTCAAAAAACATCGAAAAAACCGCGAAAGAACCGTATTGAAGCAAAGACGACAGATACGATTACGATCAAAGATGCAGCATTCATAAAGATGTGGCAAATATTAAATGACCTGGTCACCCGCACCATCAACATCACAACTGGCATCGCGTGAGAGAGACCGAATATCGGCATCATTTTTATAAATCGGAGCAGTCTGGTCTGTTTCCATCCGAAAGCATTGCTTTCGAAGAAAAGGAGTCCTTGGCTTTCCGATCGTATCTTCGGCCACCAACACTTCCTTTCTTCGCGCGAGTAATATCCGTTTCGATGATTCATTCGATTCGATGAGTAAGCGTCGAGTGCGGCTGGAAGCGATACGAGACTCTCTCAGCACGGGCCGGTGGGCTTCACTCCGATCGAGCCAGAATGCGATGGCAGCCGTTCGTGCGAAGACGGGCGAGATCCCGAGATCTAAGCATTCGCAGTGGCCGTCGGCCGTCTCTGGTCTTTTCCGTCGTTTCCTTGCGCTTTTCCGCAGTAACTTTTCTCATAACGATAAGGTGATACTCGACGAGAGCAGGCGCCGACCGAGGACCCGACGGTCTGTTTTGCCTCGACGAGGAACCCCATGAGAAATATTTTCCGACAAATTGTTCCGAATTACAACTCCCTAGAGCTAAAGGCCGCCTCCATCGCCTCGATGGAACGAGTCCAGCCGACATTCCCGACGTTTCCGATAAGAACCTGGAGAGCGACGCAAGCGCCTCATTCAGCCCCCCCCCCCAGGGACATCCTTTTTTTTTTATCCTTCCGACAAAACGATCCCCAGGGACATCCTCCCGATAAAACGACGAGCGAAACCGGAAGCCCGGCCCCGTCGATCCGCTCGTAAACGTCGCCGCAACAGACCATAAGGCGTTCTGAAGACGCTCGATTCAACCGTTCGTATCGAGAAATGTAAAATAAACGAACGAAAACATATCATTAGCGTTAATTGCGAACGGGAAGACTCTCGTGACTAACGGCCGCACGCGGCTTTTTAAATGTTTTCCTTAACGATGAGTCCACACTTACCAAGGTCAGACGGTTATTGAATTTCATGTTGCTTCACAAGGGTGTATAATCGCAATGAGTATCAAACTTTTTTTTGCTAGTCATCGAGCTGCTGCAATGGTTTTCCTCAAGTGCCCCGAGCCTCCCTTCATTTTCTGTGTGCAGCTGAAAACGTGAGGGAAAAAATATAAACATTTGGATCCCTCTCCTGACGATGACGACAGGGAAGCTGCGACCTGCCGCGATCATGCTCCAAAATCGTTCAACGCTCTCCATCGTGAGACACGAGGGGGGGGTGGGGGGGGGGGGAAGAGTACGAAGCCTCGCAGGAAAGGCGTAAAAAAATTCCAACTGGATTAGAAAAGTGATCGCCTTGCGGTCTGCTCGGGATTCGTTCGAGGAGAGCTGAAGCAAACTTTTCGAGGTCGTCTCCGGCTATTTTTTCGGTTGAAAGTGTAAATAATCCATTCGGATGAGTCACAATGTTATGCTAATGTCAAGCAGTATTACATGACTGCTCCTGCGTTATGTGGATGGGCATAACGAGCTCTCGGCATTTTAAGCCGGTTTTAGCGTCTTTTTCGTGATTGGACTTTGCAGACCGAGTCTCCTCGGTGAGAGGAGAGAATCTGGCATTCGTTCCGAAGTGCCTCCGTGCCCGTGGTAAAAAAAAAAATGGTTGCAATAATTAATAGCATCATTAGATGCCATTTCTCGGAGTCGAGGGTGATTCACAGCACTTCCCGGATCCGACACGGATGACTCGCGGACCCCGGCCAGTGCCGTTTCCGAACGAGTCATCCGCTTTCCATCCAGCCGTTCGCTTTCTATCCAGCCGTTCGCTTTCTATCCAGCCGTTCGCTTTCCACAAGCTCACGCCTCTTTCTCTTTCATCCATGGTTCTCATGTCATGCGGGGAAAACCTTAAATTCTAATAACTGTGGAATCGCATCGCTTCGCGCCATTTAATGCTCGAAGCAATGAACTGTAGAAAAGCAAACGGGAAGCTCAAAAGAAAACGTTCCGGAACGAGCCGTTCGCGCATTTTTGCATGGATTTGGCCGAATATTTAGCGCTTCCTCGAGAGCTGCCCACACGGCAAGAATGAAAAAATTCTTCCGGCATTCGGTACATTTTACGAAAATCCGGTCCAGGCGTGTCGTCGAATCGAGTTTAATAACTAACAGAAATGACTACGACTATTAACGATTACGAGGCTTCGCGTAATTATTGTTACTAGGTCCAAAGAGAACGGAGCCTTGGAACACTGGCATATTTATCTCGTTGACACAGAAAGTTCTATTTTAGGCTTCCCTCGGCTCATTTCATTTCCATCCTAAAACCGGATCCATCTCTTTTGTTTATTACTTTCCCGGTTTTTTTTTTTTTTAGACGAACCAGTTATGTGACGTCAGAGTAATACCGTTTAAAAAAGGGAATTAATCCGAAGCGTAGTATACGAAAGTCCTGAAGCTTTTGCTAAATGCGATGGACGAAGCGACGTCGGTGCCACCTCGAGCGCCGATCCAAATTCTGTCGAGGAAAGCAAGCAGTGCCTGGTTCCCTCGATCGAACGTGTCGGCACGAATGAGGCAATCGACAAAAAAGCATGAAGCCTTTTCATCATTTCGGGAGAGGGTTATACTCGGCGTTCTTCGCTTTTCAAAGAACAGGCTAAAAGTAAAAATTGGATTCACACTTTAAAATAAAATGTTTCGTTTGGGGGAGGTGAAACGGTTCGAAGCCCGCGGGAGGGAGATTTCCGCAAATTCGTCGGCCAGAACAAGTTCCGCTAGTCCCGATAAGCATCTAACCGAAGAAGTGGGGGAGCGGCCAAAAGTACCCTTTGACCCCACATCCGGAAAAAGTGGAGGGTTCATTCCCGTCCACCAGGTTCCGAGACGTATCGATCCACACCTGGTCACTCGGCAGCCGTACGTTTCAAGGGGGCTTTCATATGCATCCACTTTTATCACGGGCAGCGGCGTAGCCACAATTTTTGCCAATGGAGGAGCTACGAGGAAGGGGAGGGGGGGTAGAATTTTCCTACCTTCAACACTTCCCCCCCGCTACGCCACTGATGGGATCAGGATGTGACCTTCCAGGAAAAGGAAGACTCCCTTCGTGTGCCTACTCCAATTGGTAATTCCTTTCTCTCGATCCCTACTCCGTCCCTTTCCGTCCTTTTCCTCGACGACGCCTGACCGAATATAGTTGAAAAGCCAGATGAATACTTCTGTCCATTCGCATAAGAATTCCCGCACCGAACGAAAAGCAATCGAAAAGTAAAACGGAAAGTTCGAGAAAGCATCGAGTGATGCGTTTTTTTCCATCGATAAGCAGCATGAGTTGGATTTTTTTTTCTCGACTCCAACGCCCCAAAGGTAAATTGAGCTTTTCCCAATCGACCCGATTAATTTGGCAGCAAAATTAAAACCCGCTGGGTTTAGGTCGGAAAGGATGAAAGTCGACTGAAATCTCGGTCGAACGCCTCCCATACGTCGTGCTCGGCTTCTGAGGGTTTTCCCCACGGGGTTTCCCTTCCGCATTTCCAAGAAAATCCGAGAAGAGACGAGATCGGACGAGATCCTCGACCGGTCGTCTGAGGCCACGAATAACTCGAGGAAAAAAAGAGCGAGGGTTCGAGCGGGACTCACGACCAGGACGAAGGAGCTCCACGACGACGGCATGAGGGAATCCAAGACTCGCAACCCGACGGATGCGCACCGAGAGAGAGTCCGAGTGCGTGTGTGCGAAAAGAACTGGTCCAACGGTGTCTGCATGCGTGTGACTGTCGGCAACAGAAAACAAAAGTCATGTCACTTTTTTTGTTCTCCCTCGCTCCCATCCCCCCGGGCTATCTCTCTTCGCATCCTCTTTATTGTTTTTCCGTCTTATCGCCTTCACTCGACCCAGCTACCGTTTTCCATACTGAGTCGCATGTGTCATCGTCGTTAAAGATGCCACCCCCATCCCCGCCCTCTTCCCTCCATCCTCGTCCCCCGTCACCCCCATCCCCGCCCTCTTCCCTCCATCCTCGTCCCCCGTCACCCCCATCCCCGCCCTCTTCCCTCCATCCTCATCTGAAGGATTCTGAAATCGGAACGCGTTCGTGGGACCAGTTCTCAGGATGGAGACAGGAAGCTTCTATTGTGAAGGAGGGAGATCCTATCGAGCTCTTTCCGAGAAATCGGAGGGAATCATTACGCTCTATATATGGAAGCAGGATTATCTCCCTGTGTCTCGGCTTCATCGTACATTTCAAGCTTCTTGGACAGGTGATGCACAACGATAAAAAAAAAGCGATAATGTTCAGGTACATCCAAACATTTTTGTTGTCCTGACGGCATACGTTTGGAAATTAGGCGATTCGGGTCCGTCTCAGACTTTTGCGAAAATAAAGATTCTCAGCAAGCAAAATAAAAGGGGGGCGCGCAGAAAAAAAAAGACAGTTCTCTGGACTTTGCTATCGGTGAACACCGTTTAACACTTAACAAGACCGGAAACTCGAATAGCTTATATACTGAGTACCAAGGCACTTTAGTCATTTCTTTAAATTTTAATTTATAATTGTTGCTTATTGCGATGTAGTTGTCCTGATGGATGTCATGGGCGATTTCCCCTCCAATTTTAAAACGAGGAAAAGTGGACGGTTTTTTTCCCGCTTGTCAGCGGTAATGTATACGTACGGGCATAGAACTACAAGCGTTCAATTAAATAGCCAAATTAAGAAATATTAGATACGAAAAAAAAATTGCTTACCAGAGAAAGAGAAGGTAAAAAAGGGAAGCAGAACTTCCCTGCAAGTTCCAACTGGCCTCTCTCACTTTCCACGGCGACGTGAAAGTGAAATTCGCGTTACGATCGCTTTAAATAGATTTAATGGAAGCGTGCTGACTTTCTACCGATGACCTGATAGGAAGTTCAGTTCAACTAGTACTTCCGGTGGCCTTTGACCTTTGTGACCGATCGACTCGGATGAGGACGGTTAATCGAAACGGGGCAAAACGCTCGTTCACGCTCCACCCTGCTGCATCCACGCCTCACCCTGTTGCATCCACGCCTCACCCTGCTGCATCCACGCCTCACCCTGCTGCATCCATGCCTCACCCTGCTGCATCCACTCAAGTTGTCCCCCGGACAACTTCGTTCGTTCGATCAGCGGAAACGATGGTCCAATTTAGAATTTCCTCGAATGTGACGGAGACGAGAAGGTGGAAAGTGAGGGGAATAACGCGTTATGTCATCGGATCACCGTGGGAATCGTATTACTTTTCGTTACTTCTTCGCACTCAAAACTTTCACTCGTAATGTTGCATAATTCATTCATGGTAATGTCTAAAAAGGTCTTGGGGTCGATTCATTCACAACGGGTTCGGGGGAAAAAGCGCGCCTGAATGTTTGCATCTGAAAACGAGTCGAAGCCATGCATGTTCCAACATCTTCCTTCTGTCAGAATTCCCCCCCCCCCCCATTCCCCCCCGAGAAATTTCGTTCTTTCTAGTGGACTCTGAAAATGATGCATGATGGGTGACAGCTTTCAGTCGCGGTTTCCGTTCGAGAGAGTTGCTACCTTCTGTCAGAATTCCCCCCCCCCCATTCCCCCCCGAGAAATTTCGTTCTTTCTAGTGGACTCTGAAAATGATGCATGATGGGTGACAGCTTTCAGTCGCGGTTTCCGTTCGAGAGAGTTGCTCTTTCAATCGGGTCTGTCAAACGCTTTCGTCCAGAAAACACACTTCGATACGATACCGTGATCAGAATTGACGCGACAGAGAAGTTTGTAGGAAAGCAATAAAGCGTTCTTTCCAGGCCAGCACACCCACGTTGGGCCGACATCAACCCCCTCGTCGAAAGCCCACGTTAGACCGACATTAAACCCAGGCGTGCGGTGTCACGTGTGCGTTTTCGGAGCTTAGAAGAAGCTTGGAATAAGCAATTGTACATGACTGTAGGGCTCCCATACGGCGGACCTCGTCGCCGAGTCTCTCTCGAATCGACTGGGAGTATTCCACCGAGACTTACCATTGAATAGAGCCTAACTGAAGGCGACACTCCGAGAGGTATGGGGAGGGGGGGATCCAAAACATTACAGAGACATCTGGTGGCTCATTATGAACACCTCAGTGAGGCGCACTTCGCGGCAGCGTAATCGGGAATCGACTCATTCGATCCATAGGGAGTCGCTGAACGTAACACGCGTGTCTCCTCGAGTCCGCTACTTGGCACATATCAGGGAGTTAACGAAGTGTGCACGACACGTGGAGGATCGACGGCGACATCTGTATCGTGACCCCGTCGATGCATGGGAGTCGGGGTGTCTCCGGGTTAGGCTTTGCGCTCGATGGTGATAGGCCTATCTCCCGCGATGATCTCTCGAGACATTAACTTTTCACGCGGATTTTAGTCGTATTGCGATTTCGTCCGTCGTTCGTGCGGTTCCTATCCCGTTCCGGAAGTGCTTCACGTTCGAGATCTCTCGATTCCTTTTATCGCAGTCGGAAGACGCATTGCCATTCGTTGAACCGAGCATACTCCGCAGTTTCGAGGAGTCTTTCCGGACCGTTTAACTCGGAGAAATAAATGCGTCGAGGAATTGGAGTGTCTTCCTCGACGTTGTCCGTGGGGAAAAGATCGAGTGACGCATGATGCGGTACGAATAGAACAGGGGACTTAAAACGAGTTGCTCTCTGATATACGACACAAAAATCTCCCTCATTTTGAAAGTTGATTTAAAAAAAAAATTTCATAAGCGATATCTGAATAGGAAGCATACTGGTCCAGGAAAAACTCTCCAAGTTTTATCTGACTACATAAGATGATGAAAATGACCTCTCCGAAGGTCGGCACACTTGCGAACACGTAGGACACTGTTTCTGATCGCAGCTCGAAGAGTTTCACGCTCGACTGACGAAACGACTCTCGGAAATGGCCACGGAAACGGAGAACGATGGGAAATGAGTCTGCCGGGAAAATGAGCATTCAGCCACTCCATGGAATCCGTGGAATCCGTGGAATCCATGGACTCCTGCTCTGTCGTCAGATGTGCCATGCCCTAACTGAAATGAGGGCGGAAATGAAATGAACGAATGAATGCCAGTAAAAACTTCATGAGTTTTCCTATTCAAAACCTTGATGCACATTCCTGTGTACTGTGATACGTTTTTAGATATTTATAAGACTTTCAAACGAGGGACATTTTTGCTGCAGCACCCTGTATAATCGCTGATTTATCGGATATTTTGACGCCATCTCGCTTCCTTTCTGGGAACTTTCTTTGTTCCAATGAGCGAGATAGATGGCTTGCTCACTTGGCTTGCCCACTTGGCTTTCCCGGATGGGACAAAAGTTGGCTGTCGCACTAGCGCCGACGTTGGGGCATACATGGGCAGTCCACTGCGATGTTGGCCCACGTCCCCCCCCCCCCCCCCCTCCCCCCCCCATTTACAGCCAATATGGGCCTAATTTCCTATTTCGGCGAGAAACAAAAAAAGAGGGAAATTTATATAAATTTTACTTTCAATTTTTTTTACTACTTCTGTGGGAAGTACCCGGTGGGAAAAAGCTCTGAAAAAGAAAGTACGATGGAAGACAGAACGCAAGTGCATACATTTCGGAACATACCCAATCGACCCAAGATCGAAACAGAGCCTCGTTTCCCCCACCTCCCCCATCCCGTGGAAGCCCCCATCCCCACCTCATCCATCCCGTAGAAACCCCCATCCCCACCTCATCCATCCCGTGGAAGCCCCCATCCCGGAGATTAGCTCGGAGATTATCTCGTCATCCACTCCCCCTTTAAAGAGGAAATCCCCTCTTTAAAGATGGAAAGAGGAATGTGATGGGATTTTCTCGAGCCCATCGACTCGAATAATTCCCATAATCGAAGCAACTCATCATGCTGAATTTTTTTTATAAATCCTCTCATTAATGTTGTGATGACGAAATTCCTTTCGGATCTGCGAAAATCGAACCGGCCAATACGAACCGCAAATTTCGACTCTGCATAATTAAAAAAAAAATAAAATTCCTGGTCCTTTTTGTGTCGACGTCGCCTCGGTCCGGTTCGTCTTCCTCGTTCCCCGAGGGAATTCCGCTCTTTCTCGGAAACAACGAGACCTGAATTTCCCGAAGGAGCCTGCTCGATCGATGATCTCTCTCCGTTCGGCTATCGTCGGTGGAGAAAAGAAATATAGAAAGGAGAAAGAAAAGGATATGTCTTCTGCCGGGAGATGGCATCCCTAGGATGAAGCAGAACGGGCAAAAATTATTCATATTTCCCAGCCGTACGAGACGAAACTTTGACAGAAATCGTGTCCTCTTGATTCTTAATATAGGATGTCAGAGATGCGTAATATAGGATGTCAGAGATGCGTGTCACTGCCACACACATGTGCTGATATCAGCCACGATGTTCGCAAATGTACTTTTATAAAGTGCCCAGTAATTAATTTGCGATTCCCTTGGAGCAAAAATGACCTATTACTATAATTAGACTGCTTCACTCAGAATGCAATTCGCATTCAGTCATCGGAACCGAATATGACTTTTCCGCCGCACTAAGCTTGCCTTACGAGCCGATTGACCCGCCTGAGCCCAGGCTCAGGCTGAGTTCAGCGGATGAAGGCTTCATGGCGGAGCGGGCAATCGCAAGGGGGGGATGGGGGCTTCCACGGGATGGATGAGGTGGGGATGGGGGTTTCTACGGGATGGATGAGGTGGGGATGGGGGCTTCCACGGGATGGGGGAGGTGGGGGAAACGAGGCTCTGTTTCGATCTTGGGTCGATTGGGTATGTTCCGAAATGTATGCACTTGCGTTCTGTCTTCCATCGTACTTTCTTTTTCAGAGCTTTTTCCCACCGGGTACTTCCCACAGAAGTAGTAAAAAAAATTGAAAGTAAAATTTATATAAATTTCCCTCTTTTTTTGTTTCTCGCCGAAATAGGAAATTAGGCCCATATTGGCTGTAAATGGGGGGGGGAGGGGGGGGGGG